GGGGGTAGAACCCAGGGCACATGCTAGGCAAGTGCTCTACCATTGGGCAACACCTCTAGTTGTACCACAGGTATTTTTATTCATTTTTTAAAGACACCACCAAGGCTCAAAGGAAATTTTTACTAGCTGATACCACACAGCTAGTGAAAAAAAAAAAAAAAGTCCAGTAACAATGTTCAGACCTCAGAAAACCATGACTGGCCAAAACAGCCAGGACCTGTGTATTATTTTCTATAAGGAACCACAGCAATAGTGCAAAAATATAAATAAACCCAAAGTCTCACTGAAAAGGACTCAAAACTGCCCACACCACACATTTTCATTTTGACCAATCTATGTCCCTATAAAGCTGAAGCTGATAAAACTTATCTTCCTAACCTTCAGTGTAATATTAATGGCTACAAGTACTGACCATGAAATCTCTATGGAGAGGGAGCACCCAGAAAAACAGTGGCACCACTCAGAGCTCGTCCAAAGGATATATCGTTCATAAATGGTGCGTGCCCGCTCCACCTCTTTGTATCTCAGCTCGAAGTTGATGTAGGAGTGCCAGGCTTGCTCCTCAGGCTGCCACTCCATCCAGCGCTCAAACACCTGCCGAGCACCAGCAATGTTCCCCAGCATCTCCTCCATGTATGTGTACTTGTACCTTTACCAAAATCATCCAAGAATGCCTGTTATGGTCATAATGATTTAGGAAAAAAATGACCTTCAGCATTTTCTAGTTCTTTCTTTGTTAAGTATTAAGATTTAAAGTTTTATCTGTCCTAAAGGTTAAATCAAATATATCTTTTATTGAAATACAAACCTGAGAAAAGAATGAACTATTGAGAAAAAATAATTTTTTTCTTAAAATTGCCTAGCTCAACAAAATTGCAACCACAATTTTATTTTAATTACATAGCTAATAAACATTAGGATTATGTCATAAACTACAGGACATTAAAGCACTTACAGAATATTTAAAGAGGAGAATGTGGGATGCAAAATTACACATATACAACGATTATAACTATATAAATAAAACAAATACACAAAAGTGTGGAGTTTTTTCTAATCTACAAAAGGCTATTTCGTTAGGTGAAAAACTTACCAGAACTGGTTGACCCGTGGCAGAGTTGTTATGGCCCGATCCCAAATGTTTCGAGCATGATTGATCTGGCGATTTTTCATTTCCATTTCTGCATATTTCAGCCAGAGTGTAATATTTCGATAGTCTACATCTAAAGCACGCTCGTATATGGACCGCGCCCTTAAGAAGAAGATTTGGATGGTTTCAAAAGTACTCCATACAACATATGTAGCGATTATGTCAAACTATGCAATGCCCTGATATTTTATTGGGTGTCAACGATAAGCCAGGTTCTTGGTATAAAAAGATGAAAAGACATGACATTCTCAAATTACAGCACCAAGTCTCACAGAAAGATAGACAAGCATGTAGTTATAATACATATGTAATAAGCATTAAACTTAAGACCTATAGAGGAAGCAGAGAAAAAAAAATAACAATGTTTGGTGGAATAGGCTAAGTAGCAGGTAACTTCAGAATTGAGATCTTAAAGAAAGTTCCAGTTTACCAGAAGGCCAAGGCTGGTGAAAAGGAGTGCTCATTCCAGGCAAAGGGAATACCCAAGTAAGAAGAATTGAATGATATGTTCCAGGAGTGCCTAATAAATGGGAAAGTGGGGGCAGGTGTATGAGGGACAATGTAGAAAGACTGGAAAACAGGTAAGGCCAGGTTGCAATTTTTATATTGTTCACTGGTTTTCAGCAGGACACTTTATTTTTTAAAATCTCAATACACAGAAAGCAGATGAAACTGGGCTCACTAGCTATAAGAGCAAGCCCCACCTGTAGAGAACCTTCTCTAACCTTGGCCACTTCCAGTGTGCCAGAGGCCTGTCAAAGGAACCTTACAGTTCCCAGAAACAAAAGCTGAAAATTACTACCAGAGGCACACTCTTTTACTTATGCCTTAACTTTTTCTTAATTTTTTTGTCTGTTAGTTGGTGACATCTTTATATACAAAATCACATTCTTAGCAATTTCACCTTTGAATTTCTTTTAGACTTTCTTCCCATTGTGCGTATTTTATCCAGTTACTAATCACAGTCCTATTTTTTCTTATGTTATCTTCAAAAGTCTGAAAGACAAAAGGGTCATATTAAGAGGAAAAATGACCTCACCTTTTACCTATTATAAACTTTGTACTAAAAAGTTATTCATTTTGTTCCTGTTAAAGAGGAATTACATCCTGGAATCCTTGAGGCATAAGAAACCCACTACTGAAGGTTACACTTACAAGTGTTTCTCTAAAGACTTACACACAGACAAAGGTAAAACTTATTGGCAGAATTGCTGATATTTTTTCTTGCTTCCCTTGACAACTAACTGACACTTTAAGAGACTCTATTCTCATTCCTAATAAGAAAATGTTTAACTATTAATCCCCTCAATAATTCTCAGAATTTCATACATAACTCATTGAGAATAAGAAATAAGTAAGATATAATACTAGTGGTCTAAAATAATTTTATTGACTAGAGTGGGGAGGTCAAATCAGATCCAAAGGACCTGATTTGTCCTTTGTCCTCATGATTGTCCCCCAGGTCATGACCCTACTGAAGTCAGTGGTACAGACAAAAGTGCCTGTTATACTTCCATCCATCTTTGATTCTCACCAAAAATTAAGTCTCTGGTGCACTTACTTTCTTTTAAACAGACAACTCATGGCAAAATGCAATTATCTGGTAACCAGAAGCTATATTATTTATGTGGCTAAATATACTAACCTCATCATACCCTACAGATTCATACCAATGAACACCTCTTCAAATACTGACCTACGACTTTTCGACAAAAGACTGAAAGATTTCACATGGACTGACCTTCCTTTTCCTTAGCTTGTAATCATTTAATTCTTCTTCATCTGTGATCTTCTGTTGAGGTGGAGGTGGAAGAAGCTCAAGTTCTCTTTCTTTAGCTTCTCTTAAGAGTTGTTCAGCAGTTATCTGTACTTCAGCTGGGGCTTTGTTTTTTACCTTTTAAGAAACAAGACATTTCTATTTTTGGTGATGTGCTTTACACAAGGTTTAAGAAACACAATTATTTATTTATTTATTTATTTTAGGATGTGAACTTTTTTATTGCGGTACTGGGGTTTGAACTCAGGGCCTACACCTTGAGCCACTCCACCAGTTGCCTTTTCTGTGACCGGTTTTTCAAGACAGGGTCTCATGAACTATCTGAGGGGCTGGCTTCAAACACCAATCCTCCTAAACTCTGCCTCCTGAATAGCTAGGATTACAGGCATGAGCCACAAATGCTCAGCAGGATGTGAACTTTGTAAGTATGACTACAAAACGCCCTCTTTGTATGACATGTTCACATTTCTCCATGAGACTGAATAGAAAAAAAAAAATACAACATTTTCCAGGGATCTATTACAGATATATTACCAACCTATGGGTAAAAGTCTTAAGAGATAAAAATGACAAGAATGATAGGAAATTTTCTCTTTTGGATGAGTATAATAAACACTGACACTGTATAGGTAAAATTCTCATCAGAGATTTTGCTTTACCAAGATGTATACAACCACTTTTAGCATTACAACCTCTATTTACAGAATTCCTCTACTTATTTCAATACCTCTGGTGAATGATTTGGTTTAGTTTTTCATGGCATTTTAAGTCAACTTAAAACTTATTTTCATCAGTAGAGAAGCTTCTTGAGGTCTTAGAACTATGTTGTCCAGCACAGAAGCTGTCACTTGTGGTGAATCCACGTTGTAATGAACTCTAAGTGTAAAATACACATTGGTTTTTAGAACTTCATATAAAAAAAAAGAATAAACTACCTCATTAAACTTTTTAAGTAATGCTTACATGTTAAAATGATACTTTGAATACACTGAATTAAATAAAATGAACCACTAAAATTAATACCACTTGTTTTCTGCCTTTTTAATATAGTTATGAGAAAAGTTTACATTAGATAAGTGGCTGGCATTCTACTTCTGTTGGATTAGTAATGCCCAAGAAAAATTTATGGATCACAAGTTTGAGGCCGGTCTGGGCTACATGATAAGACCTTGTCTCAAAAGCCAAATGAATAAACAAAGCGGGAGACTCAAACTGGAGGAAGAGTATCTATAAAGGCTTAAAACAAGTCCCGCCACTTATTAAGCACTTGGTAAGTATCAGTGGTGGAAAAGATCAGATAATAAACCTATTGTTTAAGTTAAACTTTGCAACTACACAACTCCTGTCATCTACTCCCACTTCCTCCACTATCAGCTGAGCTAACTCCTATTCTCCATTCAAGTCTCAGCTTCAATGTCACTTCCTCAGCCAAGTTTACTCCGAAGGCCCGATGCACACCCCTCATTCTTGCCCGTGGCACAGCCTACCATTGCCTCGGAAGGCACAACCACCTGGCAAAGTTGCCACTTTACACCACCATGCTTTCTGGGTACTGCTGCTGGGCCACAGTGCAGCGTGGCTCCCAGCGCCTAGCTCTGCCTGGCGAGATCAATCTCTGCTGAAAACGATTCCACTCCTCCCCTGCAGAAACACCTCCGCAGAACGAAGGTCGTGCACCGCGGTAAGGCTATCCCGCGACCCACCACCCGCTGGCCCTTCCTCCTCTTTTCCCCTGGCACCGGCACAAAAACCCTCTTTCCCTGACACCACTCTCCCTGGCCCGAGGCGGCTGCGCTGGGGGAACCCCTCTCCAGGTCCCCTCCCTTAAGATCTCCGCTGAAGCCTACCTTGGCCACTTTAGGAATCCGCTGTTTACCCGCCGCGGTGGAGGCCGCCATGGCTGCAGCAGAGATCCCCGCACACACCCCAACCCGAGAAACGTGCTCAGAGAGCTCGCCCAAAGCTTTTCGACAACAAACAGAATCCCGGAACCGGAAGCGGAACTCCGAAACGACCTTTGACTCCCCGCACGCACCGTGACGGAAAAGTGCGCCGTTTCCTTGGTAACCGGCTGCGCGTCTTTCCTGGAGCTGTGGGTGGAGCGCGGCTTCCTGGAGCTGTAAGGTGGGTAGAGCTGGCCTTCCTTGCTGGCAGGGATGGTAGGACTGGGTTTAGGGCTTTAAGGGGCGCATCCCAGGTCAGTCTCCCGGACTGGGATGACCATGCGAGGATGGGTGCGTCTGAGGAGCCGTGGCACCCTGCGAGAAGAATAGGAACCAAGCTGGAATCTATGTGCTCGAGGGCGAGGGAAAAGAGGGCGGGCAAAGAAAGCATAGTTCCAGAGTGCCTCCCTTGGCACGGGCTGCTGCGCTCCTTGGCCGCGGGTCGCCGCGCTCACTCCAGGCTTTGTAGTCTCTCACGTGCACGCCTCTTCGTAGTTTCAGCTTTCTGGTCGGCTGTGCCCAAATCATGAACACCTAGGCTTGGAATTTAATATAACGCGAGGTATTTTGAAACCAAATATTACGAGAAATTGAAAATAAATCAGAGTAATTAGCAAGCCACCCAGCCTTGTGCGAAACGTGTTTAAATTATCCGTGAGTGTGCCTTCATTACTTAAATTCTCTTATTCTCAATGTCCTCAACTGTGAATCGAAGATAGTTGTACCTGTTTCCCTGGTTAAAAAGAAAAATCTAGCCGGCTCACTCCTGTAATCCTATCTACTCAGGAGGCAGAGATCAGGAGGATCGCGGTTCGGAGCCAGCCAAAGCAAATAGTTTGCGAGACCCTATCTCGAAAAATCCTTCCGAAAAATAGGGCTGGTGAAGTGGCTCAAGGTGAAGGCCCTGAGTTCAAGCCCTGGTACCACCAAAAAAACAAACAAAAAACCCCCCAAAAAACCTATGTAAAATGCTGAGTAAATATTAGCTGTATAATACTTGACCCACTTTCAAAAACAGAATAATTATGCAAATGACTAAGAATGTTTATAAATAAAGAAAATTAAGAGAAGTTTTAGATTCACAACAGAATTGAGTGGAAGATATAGAAATTTCCCTGTGTCTCCTACCCCGCCCCCACACAAAGCCTCCCCACTATCAACATCCCCCTTCCCTAGTGGTATGTTTGTCACCGTCAATGAACTTACAATGACACATCACCTGAAGTTCATAGTTTATGTTAGGGTTAACTCTTGATGTGCATTCTACAGTCTTGGACAAATGTATCTATCTACAGTTACAGTAATATAGAGAGGAGTTTCACTGTCCTAAAAATCCACTTACTCATTCCTCCTTCTCCGAAATCCCTGTCAATACTGATTTTTTTTTTACTTTCCATACTTATGCCTTTTCTACAATGTTGTGTAGTTGAAGTCATATATGGCTAATATTGGCTTCCTTCATTTGGTAATACATACTAAGGTTCCTCCATGTTTTTAATGACCCAATCCTCCAAGTCCCTGCTGGATGCATGGTTTTAATTCCAATTTTCTGTTTGGAATGAGGTCCATGCTATTTCCATGGAGGATAAATACTCCTGTAATCCTAGCCTGTAATCCAGAGTCTGTGTCAGATCTAATCACTTCCTGAGTCATTGCTCACAATGTCATTGCCCACCTAGTTTGAGGATATTCTTTCTTTGTTTTTTTTTTTAAGACCCAAATAATTTATTAAATAAGCAAAAATGAAGCCACATGGTAGGTCTGGTTTGTTTTGGTTTAAGAATTTCACCATCTTTGAAGACTAGATATAATAAAATGCCCACCAGTTGGCTGACAGTAGTCTCATTTAGGCAGAGGATTTTCCTTGCCCTCTCACGTCCTCTCATTTTCTTTTTTTCCTAATTCATCTCTCTAATTAATCTTTCTTATTCAGAATTTTCACGTAAGCATTAGGTTTATGATGTCATATTTCACAAATAAGTTTCATTCCTGTTTTGTTTTTAAGTTAAAACCAAAACCAGGAATAGTATAGACATTATTAAAGTTTATTCCTACCAGTTAAGCCACCATGTCTTTGTAGGAAGCACCTAATTTCACAATTATAGGTGCTATGGAAGATATGATGGCTGGAAAGGTAGTGCTCACCTTTGAAACAAGGCTGTCATTCCAGTGCTTCCTAATGCTTCTCACAGATTTCGAGTAAGAAAGGTCTTGAGGTGAGCCACCCTCTGATGATCATCTCCCTAATGGAGATGTGCAGTACATTTTTTAAGCTCATTAAAATAGAAGATTCTGCTTGAAATTATCCTATACCACACCAAAAAAAAGGGGACTTTGATTGGGGCAAAGGTACCAAAATAGGATTTCAAATGAAGAAGTTGTGGATATGGATAGTAATGATGGTTGTGCAACAGTGTGAATATACTTAATAGCATAACAACATACACTTAGAAATGATTAAAATGGCAAACAAATTGTCTTTTTTTCAAAAATGAAGAATAGGAAAATAAAACAGGTCCTATCTAGGGTTGGTATTAGTGGGAGGGGGAGGATATAAGGAAAGGGTTTAGGATTATGAATATGGTGGAAATGTTGTGTACTCATGTATGAAAATGGAAACATGAGACCTCTTGAAACTTCTAAGAATGGGGGGAGGGAGGATAAAGGAGAATGACAGAGGGGATGAATTTAACTAAAATATATTATAAGCATTTTTGTAAATGTCACAATGTACTCCCCAGTACAACAATAATATGATAGTTAAAATGGTAAATTTTGTGATGTATATATTTTATAATAATGAAAGCAACTTCAGCTTTATAAAGTTTTATGCTTTTCATGATGATTAGACATTGATGCATTATATATAATTAAAAGTCCATTTTTAAAATGAAAAATTAAGAATGATGACAACATTAGGAAATCAACTGAGCTATGTAAAGCCATCTTAGAAAGGAAAGGCTATTATGTCATCAACACTTAACTGCAGCTTGATTGAAAGTATGTGTTCATCACAAAAGGATTGATTGGTCCTGTGGTGGACAACAGTGTAGAGATGCCCAGGCAAACTGTGAAGGTTGCCAAGCAAGCATTGCATATCTGGGTTCCCTGACTTGACATCTCTATAATGGATGAGGACAGTCCCAGGCTCCAGACACTGTGAGCAGCTTTTTGCTGTCCACCAGCTTGGATCTTGAGAATGGCCATGCTCAATAATGTTTGTAATGATGGTTAACATGTACTGAGCACTTAAATGTATGTCACACACTGCTTTCACTGGTTCGCACATAAAATTCTCTGATCTCTGTATATTATCTCTAATTTACAGATAAGGAAGGTGAGGCACATAGAGTTTAAGTAACTTGCCTAAGTTCACATAGATGAGAAGTTACAGAAGCTGTCATTCTTGAAACTCTGATTCCACAGCCTATCTTCTTTACCACAGCCCCACACCACTTCCCTGAATGCCACTTTCTGATAGCTGGTCTTTCCATGTAGTTGATCCACAAGAGGGTATATGAGTGGCCTTGCCATAGCTTAAACATATGTTGATTTGTGTCTGCAGAGTATGAAGAAATTTGAGCCAATATTTCAAGTTTTGGATACGTTACATAGATAGCAAGATGTTTTCTTTGGCAAAATGAAGATCTGCCATTCTGAGCCCACATTTCTACAGAGCAACACCTACCTGGAGTTGAGAATGACACAAGCACCCTAGATCACTGCTACACGACACCAAGGCTACACGACAATGACCACATACCACATGGGACACATGGTTCCCCACCACCATGTTTTATCAAAGGCAAAAAGTCAGACTTGAACTTAGTACTTAGATTTGTTAACTGCCTGGGCTAGAGAAACCTCTGGGCCGCCCCACTTAATTTTCTCATTGTTAAATGGGAAATTATTAAGAGATAAATAAATTGCTATCTTAAATTCTTCTCAGTTTTTGCAAACTTGGGTTTGCCTTTGCTTTGCTGATGAAGCCTCTTGGTAAATGTGTGAAGTTGAGTGTAGTAAAGACCACTGGAGGAGGAGTCCTAGCTGTCACCCTGTTTTCTTCTCGGCCCCCTCTGATTGCCCCATATCTTACACCTTTGACATTTGAAGGTTTGTGGGTAAGAGAAGTCTGGCTGCAGTTTAACATGAATATCAGAGGACAGTGAAGATAGGGGACCATTTACCCCAGAACCTGCAGGGGGGAGCTTTCTATCCTGAGGCCAATCACTTCACTTCCTACACTTTAGTTTTTCACACCTGACAGAGGAGCTCAGTCTAGTGCTCTTTTAAGCCCTTTCACTGCTCAAGTTCTTTGATATATCTGTAAACAACAAACAGCCAAATGATATAGTGTGTTTTGCAAGAAAAATCATACACACAATGTAATTCTTTTGAAAACTTGGCACAAGCCATCTGTGTGCTAGAAGTCAGAACAGTGGTAATCTTTGGATTGGGATTGACTCAGAGTTGTCATGAGACAACCTTCCAAGGGTGCCAGAAATGTTCCATGTCGTTCTTAGAAGCAATATGACAGTGAAAATTAATTTCCCTGCTTTTAAGCTTACTTGTTAGCATATAATAAGTCAGTTTTCCATAGGGAGGAGAGGAGGGAAAAAGAAGACAAAGAAAAGATGGATATTGAGAGAGATTGAAACCATTTTGTGGCCGCCTGTTCCCATCAGTACCATTTCCCTCTAGAACTTACACTCTGCACTGTTGCTGCCACTCAAGATTCTGCTCAGAAAAGATGTAGGAAAGACTGAGTTGTACAAAAAAGCAGGCTACTTTGTTATTGATCTTCTTGAAGCCTTTAATGTGTGTGTTAATCAGCTTTCCATCATTATGTCAAAATACTTGCGATAAATAAACTTACAAGGAAGAAAGGTTCATTTTGACCCACATTTTCAGAAGCTTCAGTCCATGGTCCTTGGTCATGTTGCTTTGGGCCTATGGCAACACAATGGCAGGAGTATGTGGCAGAGCAGGACTGCTTGCTTCATGACCATACAGCAAAGAGAGAGTCAGGAAGGTGCCAGGGTCCCAATGCCCCTTTCCAGAGAATACTTCCAATGAACTTACTTCCTTCAACTAGACCCAACTACCAACAGGTTCCACTGTCTCCCAATAGTGCTGTGGATTAGCAACCAAGCCCTTAACACCCGGGCTTTTGGGGGACACTTCCATACCATAGCAATGAATGTGGTAACCCCTCAGGAAGACTCTTGCAAGCAGCATTTCCTACATCATTTGACCACAGAGCTTTTGTCTTGAAATGTTGCTCAGAACTGCCTTCTTTCATGGCTCCAGTTTGGAGAACTCTGTTTGAAACATGGGCAGCAGATGTCAGTATTTCTCCCACAACTCCTGACCACATGCCATGGTGGCTAATTAAATGTAAGAAGACACAGAGTCATTAAATAAGTCCTTTCAATGAGTCTCAGGCCTATTGTTAGAGTGTTTTAAAGCAGTTTTGTGGAAACAATACAGTTGTAGAAATTTCTAAACAGGCCAATTCTCAGAAACTTTATTCTCCAATGGATAGACATTTTAGCCAGGTTGCAGTAGCAGTTGTCACAAACTACCCCAGGGGAAAATATATGACATCATTACTCTCATACCATGTTCACTTTGACCATATGGAGACTGAATTAATGTGCAATTTTGTTTGTACTGTAAACAAACCAGCTTATGTCAGATTAATAGTGCACTGTTTTTTCTTTTAGGGGCAGGAAAAAATGTCTATACTCACTTCTCCCAGAGGAAAGGTAGAAGTGGTTCATTGCCGAAGAACAGAATCACAGGATGTTTATTGTATCAAAAGCCTCATTAGAAAATTTACCCAGAAGCTGTTTGGGAAGCTTAATATCATCTATCTTCTGTAAGTATATAACTAAATAAGTTCAAGATTGTTTGCCAGTTTTATCACAGGGCTGGGGATGTAGCTCAGTGGCAGTGTGTTTGCCTAGCATGCACAAGGCCCTAGGTTCCATCCTTACCAAGTTGGCCCTAAAAATTTACAAGCATTTGTTGATTTGAGAGCCATGTTAATTATCTGGGTGCACCAAAAAAATTTCACTTGGGGAATTTGGTTTAAAATGGCCACAGGTTAGTGAGTGTGTTGAGGAGACTGGCTGAAATAAATGCAGATATAGCTTCAGTTCAGACTCCAAATAATATCCACAGGTCGAGTCCCAAGAAACATGAGCTCACAGTCAAAAATCACAAATACACAAGAAAACATGCACCATTGGTGAGAAACAGCAACAAAAATTATATAAGAGAATTGAATTGTCAAAGGCTTCAGAGACTAAGTTAGATAAAGAATATAAAATAACCATGTTACTGTCTAAAATGAAAATACAAGTATAAGTTGATGATCAAGGAATAAAAATCACAAAAATGAATAATCAGGTTTGAACAAAAGTCAAATTGGCCATCTAGAAATGAAAATACACTTGAAATTAAGTGCTGAGTGGATAAATTAAATACCATTATAGACAGCGTTAAAAACAGAAGTAGGAGAGGCTGGAGGCATGGCTCAACTGGTAAAGCACCTGCCTAGCAAGCACAAGGCCCTGAGTTCAAATCCCAGTACTGACAAAAGAAAAATAAGTAATGAAGTGGAAGATTAATCCCAATAAATCACCCAAAATTAAATACAAAAATACAGAGCCAAAACGTGAATGGTGCATTGAAAATAATATACGTCTAATCAGAATTCTCAAGTACTAATGAGTTAGAGAGTTGATATTTGAAGAGAGAAAACTGAGAATTATCCAGAATTGTCAAAAAGCAACAATTCTTAGATCCAGAAAACTCAACAAATCTAATACAACCAAACATATTATAATGAAACAGCAAAATGCCACAGCTAAAAAAAAAAAAAAAGATCCGAAGAATAGAAAATACAAATTACTTACAAAGAAATGAAGGTTAAATTAAGAGATGATTTCTCACTAGCAAGGATATCTTTAATATTGGAGAGAAATGAGATCAATTTACAATTTTGTAGTGTGAAACAATTTTTGAAGACCTAGGGAAAAATTTTTCAGACAAACAAAAATTGAACTAGTTTTCTTTCCTTCTCATGTCCTGGGCTTTCCAGATAAAATATTTTTCCTTCTCCCTAGAGCATATCCTGAGGAATTTCCTTTATACAGAGGCTATTGGTAAACCACAAAATGAGAAAATATGTGAGTAAATCTAAGAAAATACGACTTGTAGGCATTCTTAAGGTTTATTAAAGACAAGGACATGACAGGTATTATACAAAGATATTCCTCCTTCCTTTCATGAGCCACACATCCTGGCATTGATGTCTTTGTTTTGTTTCTTCTTACATATAATCAGGGTTGCCCCTCTTTAACCAACAGAAAAAACAAACAAACAAAGAAACAAACAAAAAAACCAAAAGTGATATATACTCTGCAACCTGAAGTCTGTCATACAAAATCTTACAACTCCCGCTAGTTCTCTTAGAATACTCCCTCTCAGAACCCAACTGCCATGCTAATAAAAGTTTGAATCACATAGCTATATGCATGTGCTCACTTGATAACCTCAGCTGAGCTCTCAGCCAACCATCAACTGCTAACCATGTGAGTGAATCACTTTATACATTGAGTCTTTGTGGTGTCTCCAGCCTCAGCCACCATTTGATTGTGATCATGAGAGACCCCAAGCAAAAACTGCTCAGTTGAACTCAGTTAAGCCATAGAAGCACAAAATGTAGTAATAAATTATTATTTAAGCCACTAATTTTTGGGGTGGTTTGTTGCATATAGATTGATAACTGGAACAGAAAGTAAAGATTTTATTTGTAATGTATAATATTTTAATACAGTGAGGATAATCATTTAAAAATAGGCATAGAGATTATAACTTGGGATCTATAGAGGGAAAAATGGAGGAAGAAAGAAGAAACATAAAATTTAGGACACATTAAAATCATATAATAAAAAGATAGGGGCTAGTGGAATGGCTCAAGTGGTAAAAGCACCTGCCTAGCAAGCATGAGGCCCTGAGTTCAAACCCCAGTGATACCAAAAAACAAAACAAAAAGATAGGAAAAATCCAACTAATAATGAATATATGGCATCAGAATTCTTCACTTGAGTGATTATGATAAGCAGATCAGCTAAAAACAGAATGAAACAAAACAGTCATTTTGTTTACAGGAGGTATACCTAAAATATGAAGGCACAGAAAGATTTAAATCTAAAGTATTAGGAAAAAAGATATACCACTCATAAACTCATCCAAAAAGTAATAAGAATCGCTACCAAAGCATCTCTACAAATAAAACCAATATATGGGTTTCTTTTTTATTGTTTTTACATTTACTCACATGTGTATACATTGTTTGGACCACCCTTCCCTGCCCCCTTTCTGGGCAGAACCCAGGTTTAGTTCTTAAGGGAGCTTTGACAGCTTTAAAATTGTTTGCTCCTAATGACACAGTCTTTAAATAAATTAAAAAATCAGTTAATCAAAAGATGAACTAGATGTACTCCCCACCATAATGGCAGATTTTAATGTATCTTTCTTAATGGATACCAAATAACTAAAAATCAGTAACAATGTAAAAGATTTTCAAAGCAGCACAATTAAAGAGCATGATCTAATGGTGGTTGTGTATAGAGTACTGTACCCAATATTGAAGAATATAAAATCTTGTCTGGTATACATGGAAACATGTAGAAAAACTGACCATCTCTAAAGCCATAATGCGGGCTCTACAATTTTCACTACTTTGTGTCATACATAACACATTCTCTGATCACAATGAGATGGAGTTAGAAATCAATAACAAAAAGATAATCAGGAAATACCTAGAGATTTGAAAAAATTTAAATGTAGTTATAAATAATGATGGATGAATAAACAATCAAAATAAAAATTGGAATACACTGAGTTGAATGAAAAATTGAAAATAACATATTAAATATACATCTCTATGTAAATATGAATATAAGTGAAATACGTAAATTTCAAATTGAGGAATGCAGCCAAAGCAAGTGTGGAAGTTTACTGATTAGAGGCTCCCATGTCTCCCTGTATACCTTATGCTGCTTTGTAGCTTTCCCACTGCCTCATCTTTTAAGACTGGGATAGATCTGTGACTTATCAAACAGAACATGAAGGCAGGGTGCTATGCTGGTCCCAGGCCCAAGCCTTCAGATGGTCTGGTAGCAAGGCAGGCACGAAAGGGAGACAGGCAGGGTATGCAGGAAACTCACTCCTGCACAAGGCTGATAGTGTCTTATTCAACTTTGAATTCCTGGGTGTCTCTGTTGCTTCACCCTAGCCCCAGGCCCCTCTGGGAGCTTTTGATTTTGTGCTCTTGGGAGCCTTGTATCACCATATCAATATGACTACACTGCTAGAGAAACCATATGGAAAACCTTCCTGAAGTGGCCATTTCACAAGGGGGAAAGGATGTGACTTCATGAAGGAGAGTCAAGAAACAAGTCCTACAACAAGAAACAAGTCTCTAGGTTCCAGCAGACTTCAGTCTGTTTGAGCCACCCTCACTGAGGCACAAGAGACATGAGTGAAGAAGCTATTTTGGAGGTTCTTGTTCCAGTAGATAGCCTTGCTTGCTCTTTGCTGTCTGAATATGTTATCCTTATAATCATAAGCAAATAAAATGAGCAATCACCAAATTTGGGGTAGTTGTTATACAGAAATAAATGAATAAGACAGCAGGTCTTAGAGGAAGCTTATAAGCTTTAATGTTTACAATATAAGAGAAGAAAGGGCTAAAATTATCTGAGTATGGTTATGCATGCCTATAATCCCATTACTCAGGAAGCTAAGGCAGGATGATCCCAAGTTCAAGGCCAGACTGGGCTATGAAGCAAAACTCTCTCTATACATAAATAAACAAATAGTGCAAGTTTACCTCTAAGTTAGAAAAAGAATAGTACAATCAACTCAAAGAAAACAGAATGAAGGAAAGAATGGATGAGAGCATATGTTAATGAAATAAAAAGCAAGTGTCTGGTGGAGGATAAACAAAAACAAAGTTAGCTGTTTAAAAAGGAGAAACTTTTGATGAAATTAATCATGAAAAAAATAAATCAAACTTACTAGGAGCAGACAGAATTCTTTTAAACTAACTATCTGAGGCTAGTATAATGTTAATACCAAAATCAGACAAGGGCAATACAAGAAAGGGAGGTTTGGCTAATCTCACACAGAATGAGAAATGAAAATTATATCCAATCTTGCTCATGAACATGTTTGCAAAAATTCTAAGCAAAACATTAGGAAAGAAATCTAATAATGAAGTAAAAAGACAATACAGCATGACCAACATGAACTAGTTCTGAATTTAAGGTTGGCTTAAAATTATAAAGTTGGTTAATCAGTTCATCACATTATAAGATTAAAAGAGAATAACTATAAGTTCATCTGTAGCCACATGCTGGTGGCTCATGCCTGTAATCCTAGCTATTTAGGAGACTGAGACTGGGAAGATGACAGTTTGAAGCCAGCCTGAGCAAATAGTTCAAGAGACCTCATCTCCAGAATAACAAGAGCAAAATGGACTGGAGGTGTGGCTCATGCAGTAGAGCCCTGCTTTGCGAATTCGAAGTCCAGAGTCCTCCCCCCAACTCCAAAAAAAAAAAAACCACCTCAAGTGAAGAAAAACATCTGAATATATGCAAATTTAGTGATAACTAAAAATCAATACAATAAGAATATAACAGAACTCCCATAACATGCTATAAAAATTTTTAATAAAGATCATAGATAATGATAAAATATTAGAAAAATTCTTTTTACTATAACAGAGTAAGGATGTCTGTTGTTGTGGCTTCTGTTCAACATTGAACTGGAGATCCTAGCTATTGTAGTAAGAAATAAAGTGAAATACAGCCAGGCACTGTGTCTCATGCTTGCAATCCCAGCTACGTGGGAGACTGAGGTAGAAGGATTGTGGTTGGAGTCCAGGCTCAGGAGGGAGGGGAGGGGAGAGGAGAAGAAGGGAGGTGAAATCATGTAGTGGAATTTGGAAAGAAGAAACAAAACTGGCATTATTAGATGATTTATTCTTTAATGTAGAAAAGCAATAGGCAGCCAGGCAACAGTGACTCATGCCTGCAACCCTAGCTGCTTTTGAGACTAAGATCAGGAGGATCTTAGTTTGAGTCCAGCCTGAGCAAAGAGTTCCTGAGAACTTACCACCACTTCCAGAAAGCAGGAGGGGGGAAGGAGGAAGAGAGAGCTGGAGAGAGAGGGAGAGGGGGAGGGAGAGAGAGAGAGAAAAAGGTGTTACAACTGGGGTCTTTCTAGAGATTTTTAATTTAAAAAGCTTCCACAAACCTGTTTCCCAAGTCCTATACACAATTATATGCTAATTACTTGAAAGTTTGACTTTTGATAGCCAGTTATTCCAGAAGGCAAGCTTTATACTACTATGAATTGGAGCAATTGTGAAAGTTCCTCAAATCCATGTGTATAAAGCACTTTTTATTTTCTGAAATGACAGATAGGAGAGTGTAGCTTTTTGTCATGGGAGAGGGGAGTAGTGAAAAAAAATTTAAAATCAAGGTGTGGTGGTACACATCTGTAATCCCAGCACTCAGGAAGCTGAGGCAGGAGGATCACGAGTTCAGGGCCAGCCTGGGCTACATGGTTAGACCTTCTGTCAAAAAAGAATTTAAAAAAATGTTAGGTTGAAGTGAGGTCTTTATAATGGAAAGGGTTTTGGCTTATCTTAGAAATCAGCATACTTTCAGAAGAAAATTTACAATTTCATTTCCCGGAACTTCTAAAATGACTTCTAAAACAGTTGTGCATGCCCAGGTACTCACTTTCATGTTATGTAACTTCTATCCCCTTGCCAGACCACTTGATTTTATAGGCATTTCTAAAAGCAGTAATTCCTTTATTCATCTGTGTAGTTTTATTTTATTGAATGCTCAGTCACAAAGATACAGAATGAATAAAACTGATCTCACTTTAAAAATCTAGCTAAATTTTAGGAGCAAAAATGAACATGTTGAGCAAGACTGATAGTAAAAAAAGAGCTGAAAGAGTCATCCATGTCCACATCCCAGTTGCCGTGCAAGGGCACCTCCCAGGCTTCTGATCCATGTGTGATGGACAGAAGGGAACACTGAGGTCTCTCATTCACTCAGTTATATTAAGCAGGGAGGCAGATGCTGTTTCACGAAGATTTCCATTAAGTGTACTTCAATAAAATAAGTTTTGGCTGCAACTGGAAAATACCCTAAACCAATTGAACAAGTACAACATTAATGAAAAGGGCTCTAATTTCTATTGCTGGATAATATCTCTGAGCTTTAATATAATTTGTATGAAATACATATGCATGTGTATAAACATTTATACACATGCATATAATATATACATTAATAGTGCTCCTTTAGTTTGTGTTTGGACATTACAACAACCAGTTTTAAATCCAGCTTTTAAAAATATGTGTTCTTTCCCTTTATTTTTTCCCTCTTCTTCTCTTCCTTTTTTCCCCCCTCCCAGGATGATTTTTATCTGCCCCATAAGGGACTAATGGCTAAGAGGCAATGAAAAGTGGAAATTATGTATACAAAAGGATAATGCTACAAAAGTTACTTTTTATTATAGGCAGCTATTTGGAAATTGTAGTGTATTTTCCCATGGAAACAAAGTTATTCCTGGCTGGTTTCCCAGGCCAACCCACAAAAGCTTATTTAATCTATAATGTCTGTGTAGGATGGTCCTGTGCTAATTGTACTATAGAACACAACCACCATCGTAAGGTTCCCATGAATAAGTGCATTTCACATTAAAATTGGGATTTCAGGAACACATTGTCCCTTACTTCCCTGAGGCGATGGTGTCTGTCCTGTCTCTAGTTCTTACCCACTTCTCCCTTCCCACTACCGCCATCACCACCCAGTAATCAAGCTGATGTGTACAGGGTCTTGTGCCTTAGGTGTTTTTCTCATCCGAACTAGAGGGACTCTAAGCCTGAGGCCAGAGGTCATGGTTCTGGGAGTCGGGAGCAGAAAAGTCCAGAAGACCAAGAGCTAGAGGGAGATAACCCCAGTGGGGAGCAGAGGCTCCACTGAATTGAGAGCTTGGGTGCTTCATCCTCTTGCTAATGGGTCCCCCATGTAGATACTGTATTCTAGAAACCTGAGGGACCATTCACTTTGTCCTTCCTTCATAACCATGCTTGGGAAGTGCCCATGAGCCAAGTGCACGTGGTTCATTCTCCCATAGCTGAGAGGTATGATGATACACAGTTGCCTATATCTTCCTATGATGGGGGACAGTGACAATAGATGCTGAATTGACATCCTGAGCACAGTATTTCTCACAGATACCCATACTTCTAGTGGTATCCAAGATAATCTTACACGATGCATGCATGGCAATTTTTTTTTCCATTTTTCTTTTATTATTCATATGTGCATACAAGGCTTGGTTCATTTCTTCCCCCTGCCCCCACCCCCTCCCTTACCACCCACTCCACCCCCTCCCGCTCCCCCACCTCAATACCCAGCAGAAACTATTTTGCCCTTATCTCTAATTTTGTTGTAGAGAGAGTATAAGCAATAATAGGAAGGAACAAGGGGTTTTGCTGGTTGAGATAAGGATAGCTATACAGGGCATTGACTCACATTGATTTCCTGTGCGTGGGTGTTACCTTCTAGGTTAATTCTTTTTCATCTAACCTTTTCTCTAGTTCCTGGTCCCCTTTTCCTATTGGCCTCAGTTGCTTTAAGGTATCTGCTTTAGTTTCTCTGCATTAAGGGCAACAAATGCTAGCTAGTTTTTTAGGTGTCTTACCTATCCTCACCCCTCCCTTGTGTGCTCTCACTTTTATCATGTGCTCATAGTCCACAATTGTTGCATCTTTATTTTTATAGTTACTTCCTATTGGTGGCAAAGGAGACTGGTTTTCCACTTTTGGCACTTATGTAAATTTCCTGTTAAAATATTCTTATTTTAGCCAAAAGCAAATTGATTTAAAGAAAAATACTAAATTAAAGGATAGGAAGTGCAATTGTGTAAGAAACTGCTGTTTGTAATAGAGATTGTTCTAGTCATATGATTCATATGGCAAAAACAGGCTACAAACAGTATGGATTGTGCAGTTTCATTTCTAACAACATACAAGGTACATTTCTACATACAGCTCCACTTAAATAAAGTCTGAGCCAGGTGTGATGGCACATACCTTGTAATCTCAGCACTTGGGAGGCAAATGCAGGATAGATTTTGACCAGCCTGGACTCCATAGCCAGATCCTGTTAAAAACAAAACAAAACAAAACAAAACAAAACAAAACAAAAGCTAATATAGGTGGAACTAAACTCAGCTTTGCTGCTGTGCATAAGAGACTGTTTGATCCCAGTTTGCTCAGGACTTGCTGGTTTTAGCACTGTAAGTCTCATGTCCAGGACATCCCCCTCAGTCTGAGCAAAGAGGGACAGTTGGCCACCCTGATTGTATGAATTTAGGCTAACACAATGGTATTGGCAGCATGACAGTAAGATAGGGAAAACTATAGTCAAGTAATTTTCCTAGCCAAAGAGAAGTGATCAGATACTTGATTTCAAAAACACACTTTTCCAGTGAGAAGTAATTTTATTTTTAAAATTTTTATGATCATATTATTGTTTCACCGGGTGTACATTGTGACAGTTACAAAAGTGCTTACAATACGTTATTGACCTCCTCCATCATTTTCCTTTATCTCCCTTTCCCCCACTCTTAGACTAGTTTTCAACAGTTTCATTTTTCCATTTTCATACATGAGTACATAATATTTCCATCACATTCACCCTCCTGCACACTTTTCTTATATCCTCCCCCTCCCACTGGTGCCAACCACCAGACAGGACCAGTTTTACCTTCCTGTTCTCTATTTTTGAATAAAGACATTTTTGTTTGTTTAAGATCTCTGTACAGGGAGTTTCATTATGACATTTCCATGTATATATATATTATACCCCAAGCTGGCTCATCTGAAAAGTAATTTTAAAGAAAAATTTAGGGGATAGCATCAAATGCCCTTATAGACCCACCCCCAAACTTACTGCATTCCTATCTCTTCAAAGACAATCAGACCACAGCAGTGTTAGTCACACTCCAGATCTGAGGAATGAGAAAATGACCTGTCCTTATCTCACTTTTGTCATCTTTATTCATATGTGCAATTTTAATCATTTCTACAGAGAAAAGGCAAATCTTGCTGTTACCCTCTGCAATGACAAAGAGGAGATCATGGCTCATGCCTCCTTCTTGGACTATCCCAACTGGAATGTTGCCAAGCAGGACAACTGGGTGCCCGTGTTCCAAGAGCTCGACAGTGAAATCCCATGCACAGTAAGAAATCACACACCATGCCCATTAGAACAGCCTGAACCTGGAGGGGAAGATCTGTGCTTGCAATGCTGTCATTTCATCTATTGGATTAAGAAGTTCACAATTCACACAGAAAGTAATTGACATCATGACAGTTAAAAATGATGTGAGCTGGTAGTGGAGCTCAGAAGGCCAGAGGATATAGGGAAAAAAGGGTAGGTGGCAGCCCCATCAGCCAGCTGCTGGCAAGGTCCAGCTCATGTTCCACTAAGGAGAGCTGAGAGCAGTGAATTAGTGGAAGTGTCAGATGTATGTGTCTGCTCTCATGATGTTCCATGTTTGTTGTGCATTATTATCTGAGGTCTTTGATATACTTATCAGTGCCACTGTCACCTACATAGTCACCCTTGTAATAGTGACAATAGAGCCTCAGACTTCTATTACATTCTATAATTTTCAAAGTGCCTTTACAGAGTATGGCTTATTTGATGTCTCCTAACTGCAGCCACACACACAACTGTTGGCTCAGTAAAACTAAGTCAGTGATTACCCGGAGACCAGCCTGGGTACCTGTGTGCAGCCTGCCAGATCCCAGCTAGGGGCCGGCCTGAGTGTCTGTGGTAAGCCAGAGGCCATGACTGTGAGCAGCACCCTCATCTTTTAGTGGAATCCAACACGTGACCCTAAGCCCTGATGTCAGAAAAAGAGGAACTGCTGATTGGGTGCATGGATGGACTCACCCTAACTACATGTGTGCATTCACACACATGCACACACAAACACACCCCTGAGCAAAGAATTCAGTATTTATTCAGCTAGGTGCTGCTGCTTCTTGTCTTTTGTGCTCCCTGTGTCTTTAACACTCTTTACCCCCAGTTATCATTTTTCTTTCTCAGAAAAATTGTTCCAAACTGGAAATAGATCAAAAGGAATCTTTCCTATAAATGTTCTTGCCTTTGATTGACTTTTTATTGACTGGATTGTTTTATGCTTTTGTAGGAACAGCAATAACTTGTAGATTTTTATCCAGTTGTGATGTAAATGATTAATTCCTGCCTGATGAAAGTGCTAGCCTCAAAGTTTCTAGCTTATGGCCCTGAAGGAAACTAACCTGTTTTGTATCTAAGGCAGCAATCTTACTACTTTTATTTTTTTGGTGGTCCCGTGTCCCGTCCAGCAGGACACATCAGCGTGGGTAGCGAACCTAGAAGGGGAAGAATGAAGGGACAAGAGACACGAAGGATGACAGCAAGACAGGAGTTCTGATCAAGCTGCAAAATTTTATTGTTCACACAGGGGTATTTATGTGCTGAGGGAGTGAGGGGTATGACGAGGTGCAGGCTGGTTGGCTGGTTCTGCTATAGGACTTCTGATAGGGTGCACGTTCGCGCCGGCGGCAAGGTAAACTCCCGGAAGAGAAGCAGGGACGGCGCCATCTTGTGCTGGAGATGGAGAAGTTGGGACAAACAACCGCAAAATGTTCCAGGGCAAGGTCAAGACAGAATGGCTCACAAAGGGAGCCTTGTCTCCGACATTTCCCCCTTATTCTTATACAAACATGACCAGAATATGTCGGCTTATTGAGAGGGGATGACAGAGGCCCAGTTCCTCAGGGTGGAGATCATTTTTGCTTTGTAAGCAAGCGTCCTTGCTAAGTTCTCAAGAGACTCTCCTCGGCATGTTTTTTGAGGAGGCGGATTTTTTAGGAGCATGCCAACCGCCATGCACCAGGGCATGTCATACAGAGGTCTTGGGTCTGGGGATCCTAGGATCCACCCTCCTGCAGTCTTACCTGCACCCTCGTTTAGAAAAGCCTTTATGATCACTCTCCCTGGGTGCTGCCTCCCCCAAGCAGAGGGGCCCAGTGGAGGAAGGCCCAATGGGCGATGAGTGGTCAAGAATGTTATATAAGAAGAGGGGGTGGCAGAGAGAAAATTTGGAAACCCAGATGGAGCATTTAGCGAGTTTCTATTGAAAGGAAGGTCTCAGGAGCACAGTCTTCCATATCCAGGCGATGATAATGGACCTGTATAGGCTTAGAGGCTAAGGTGTTAATTTGTTCTTTAATGAATTGTATCAGCCTGTTTATAATGCAGGGCCCTATGATCACAATTAAAAGTAGACCTAGCAAGGGGCCTAATAGTGGAAGAAGGTAGGGTAGAATTCCATTAAGCCCAGTCCAGAGGGGGTTTTCAAATAGCTCCCTTTGTCTCTTTTCTAAATCTTCTTGAAGCTGTTTAATTTTGGTGCGTACTATGCCTGATTTATTGGCATAAAAGCAGCATCTTTCCCCTAAGGCCAAGCAGATACCTCCCTGGTTGGCTGTTAGCAGATCTAAGCCTCGCCTGTTCTGAAGGACCACTTCTGCCAGGGAGTCTATTTGGTCCTGTAAATCCTTAATGGTTCCAGATAGAGTTTGTACATCATCTATAAGTTGTTGAGATAGGCGACGGTAAGAGTGTATAGCCGTGCCTAAGCCAGCTGTACCTGTGCCTATAGCTGCTGTTATTCCAAGGCTGGCAAGGAGCGGTAAGGCTTGTATTGCCCGTTTATGTCTTTTAATTAAGGTGTCTAAGCTAGGAATGGGCAGAGGTTCATCTCCTGAGACAACAGTAATATCTGGGAGTAATAAGGCAACAACACAGCCACCAGTCCAATTTGCTGAAAGCCTGGGGAAGGCTGAGTTTCCTCCACACAAAAAAACTGTACCGTTGGGGGAACAAAGAGCTGGGGTGGGTGAGGAATAATTTAGAACTGATGAGCAATTTCCAAAAGAACTAACCCCAACGTCAATATCATAAGAATTATTTTGCATCCTGCCTTGAAGGCATACTGTAGGTGCATCCATAGGCTGTACTTTAAAGGGAAGTCCAGATTGGCAGGTATCCTGATTATTTATGGTGAAGTTAACAGGTATTGCCATGGGCATTATTGCTCCTGTGGTCACGCAAAGCCAGCAATCCTTAGCAAGGGTGGGGTTGGAAGTGTTAAGCAAGGAGAAGGTACTTCCCAAAATATCTAATGTATTGGGATCTAAATCTGGAATCTGAGATTTAGGCAACATTAAGGGGTGATATGTGAGTTCGGGGATTTGGGGTTTTAAAAGCTCGATTATTTGAAGATGTTTGACAGCATCCGTGGGTCCTCCACCATCAGAGACCCCTGTAGGAGGGCGGGAAGCCGTCTGCATAGCATTTTGCCCAATTTTAACAAGTTTTAAAGTACCATTATCAAAGGGTGCACTTTTGAGAATGTCATTAATCAAGTTCCAATAAGAAAAGGCGGTCACAGGGACCTTTTCGGGGCCAAAAGATTCATAATAGTCTTTTAAACAGTCTCCGACCCGGAGCCATCTTTTACCATCAATGGTTCCTTCGAGAGGAAACCAGGGACATAAATCTCCTATGTAACAAAAGAATGACCTCAAGTCTTTTTTCTTAACACGCGCCCCTCGTGTCTTGAGGGCCTCCTTGAGGCCTGACAGAAACAAATCATGTGACGACACTGCTTGTCCCAGGGTGGGTCACTCACCATTCGCCGTCCTCACTCTCCTCCTGGATCTGTCTCTCGGTTGCGTTTGCCGAGGCGGTCGCGAACTCCGCTTGGGCCCAAGCCTTCCCGGAGGACGGTGTTCTCCCCACAATCAAAGGAATAGCTACAGCCATGTTGGGCGCCAGATGTCCCGTCCAGCAGGACACATCAGCGTGGGTAGCGAACCTAGAAGGGGAAGAATGAAGGGACAAGAGACACGAAGGATGACAGCAAGACAGGAGTTCTGATCAAGCTGCAAAATTTTATTGTTCACACAGGGGTATTTATGTGCTGAGGGAGTGAGGGGTATGACGAGGTGCAGGCTGGTTGGCTGGTTCTGCTATAGGACTTCTGATAAGGGTGCACGTTCGCGCCGGCGGCAAGGTAAACTCCCGCAAGAGAAGCAGGGACGGCGCCATCTTGTGTTGGAGATGGAGAAGTTGGGACAAACAACCGCAAAATGTTCCAGGGCAAGGTCAAGACAGAATGGCTCACAAAGGGAGCCTTGTCTCCGACAGTCCCGGGTTTTGAACTCAGGGCTTTGCACTTGTTAGGCAAGTGCTTTACCACTTGATCCATGCCTCCAGTCCTTTTTGCTCTGGTTATTTGGGAGACAGGGTCTTGCTTTTTGCTCAGGCTGGCCTGGACCAGGATCCTGCTATTTTAGATTTCCTGCCTGTCTCTGGGATGGTATGTGTGTGCCACTGCAACCAGCTTCTCACAGTTGGGAGGGGGTTTTGCAAACTTTTTTACCCAGGTTGGCCTGGAACTGGTGTCCTCTCAATTTCAGTCTCTGATGTATCTTGGGATGAAAGGTGCATGCCACTGTCTCAAGCTGTTGGTTGAGATGGGGTCTTGAGATGGGACCTCAAACCTCGATCCTTTTGATCTCTGCTTCCCAAAGAGGGTGAGCTAGCAGCACCAGGCTGACATTTCCTTATTAAGTCACCTAAAGTATCCAGTTCTTCAAGGGCAAGTAATCTTTTTTATCATCTTAATAGTTATCTCACTAATTGATGAAGTTGAAAAAATTTCTGACTTGTGTTTATATTATATTTGGTTAAGGTCATGATTTTACCATTTGAAAACTTTAAATTAATACCACACACTCTTTTGCCCTTTGTTTCTTTTCTTGCTCTGTTAAGATTTTCTTTTTAAACTATTTCCTACAAAAGTACAGAGCTGGGCTATCCAATATAGTAGCCAGCAGCCATAGGTAGCTATTGAGGACCTGAAATTAGCTAGTCTTAATTGAGATGTGCTGTAAATATAAAATATATACCAGATTTCAAACTTAATAGGAAATAAAAAATGTAAAGTATTTCATTATCAATTTTTATATTGATTATTTATTAAAATGATAGTAATTTGAACATATTAGGTTAAATAAAATACATTAAAATTAATTACACATGTTTATCCTTATTTAATGTATCTACTAGAAAATTTACATTTGTGGTTTATATTATTTTTCTGTTGGGCAGCAGTGAGATAGAGCCTTAAGCTCTATCTGTTGTCTATCTCGGGTATTTGCAACTGATTTTTATCTTAAAGCTATTTAAATGTGGATGTACAGACTACTCATTATTTAGGCCAGTTAAACAGTCTTCAAAAGTTATGTGATGAAGCTCTTTTAAAACTTGGGAGAGTTTACCTTAGAATCCTTAGAATCTTGCTACTTTGAGTTTTCAGCTCCCAGATTTTCTGGATCCCAGGAACAATATTTGATTCGGACTCTGGGAATGTTAAACAACAAAAAAAAGCCTTTGGATTCCTAACGTGACATCTGCCTCATATCCTTCAATTTTATAAAAGAATCTTTCCCTGGTGTCCTTGACTAGAGCAGCAGCTGCTGACTCAGGAGCCGCAGGGAAAGGGCGATTGTCTTTCACTTGGCATAGACACCCCTGAAGACAAGACTATGGAGTTCATAATCGATTTCACTCCCCTGCAGGCTCTTCTCTGCACGCAGTGCATCCCCAAGAGTAGGAGGAAGAGCTGGGTTGCTCTGGACTCATTATGATCCCTGTTTCCTTAAGTAATTCTAAGCTAGTTGGACAGAAGGCAGTGGGTGGAGTTTGAGAGGGCTCAAATGCCACCTGGGTGTCTTATCACTTGAACATCAAATGTCATCTATAAATGCAGGGCATCTCTGTGTCTGATCTCCCTTCCCACCCTGCTCTGTTCCAGCCTGAATGCTGACTCAGCCTTTAATCTGTGTTTCTCTTTTCTTCTGCAGCCTCTGAATACTTTGTTCATGCACCTCTTTGTGGCCGTGGATGAGTACTCCATGGGCTGCTGCAAAGAGATTATTCGGTGAGTGGACAGTGCCTTGCAGCTGATGAATAGGAAAGAGGCTGTGCGGATAGCTTTGAAATATTTTTTAAATGACAGGACGTTCTTTGGTGGACTCTAATTTGCTTGTAGTATATGGCTGTATTAACAGTTTTACTTTAATAGCAATGGTATTTCTGAAAGAAAATCATTGAAATTCTTTGATTTACTCTCCATTCAGTCCACATCTTTAACTGCTACCATTTGAGGCCAACAGGTAGTGTAGTCATTTAAAGAAATGGATTTGGGGAGGAAAGGGAAGAACAAAGTGTCACAAACTTGAATGTTTCTAAAAAATAGATTTCCTCAATCTTGTCTTTGGAAGTGTTTATTAACAGGCAGACTATGACAGAATCCTGGGTAATAAGACATGTGGAAAGATGACCAGCAGGGCCATCAAGTCCTGGTGATGCGTCTCTGGCAGCCTGTGCAGACCTTTAGGGGGAGGGCTCAGCTTTCAAGTCACTTTGTAATGTCACACCAGACTATCCAGATGCCAGGTCAAAGGTTAATGTCAGCAGAAATCTGGTGTGCTGCATAGACATGGTGCCCTTTATTCCCTCAACCTCCATGGGACAGATAGAAGAGGGCCCCTTTGGAATCCAAGAAAAAGTAGAGAAGAAAAAGCATTTGCCTTAGAGATGGTCTTTCCTTCACAGGCAGGGAACAAAGGAGCCCATGTGGATTTCAAGACACCTCATTTTTTTCAGTGGTAGCATTTTTCTCCATGAGGTACCAGCTAATGGTATTACTTTGTTACTAATACCCATCTCACCCACTCTTTCCTCACCAGGACTGTGTTTAAGGCTGTGCCAGAACTGCACTTCATCTTCCTCATAGTGCCATCCTATATGAGCCTAGGTAAGATCCCTCAACCACCTCTGTCCCCAGTAGCTTACATAGAGAACTCATGCTCACGGTGGTGCTTTTGGGAATGGAATGAAGTTTGGGCTCCAGGCCCTGAATGTATTATGTGCATGCTTGATTGTGACTATTAAAACAACACTTCAAATGGAGACTACATTTTGTTCTAAAGTCCCAAAGTTATTCCTTGACAAAGTTAGGACACATTTCTTTCTTTCTTTCTGTGATTTAGGCTCAACTCTCATAACTGTTTTTGACCAAGTGGGGAACATTCCATGTCTGACGTACAGTGAAGAGTTTGCAGTGCATATATGTCACAGGCACAACCACTTCCCTCAGCTGCACATTCGCAGAGCCAGGTACGGTTGGAACAATGCCTCACGTAATCTAAGTTTCACGGGACAGTTACCTTTATCAGAGTCTTTTTTTTTGGTGGTACTTGGGTTTGTACTCAGTGTCTCATGCTAGTTAGGCAAGTGCTCTACCACTTGAGCCACACCCCCAACCCTTTTTTAACTCTAGTTATTTTCATATAGGATCTCACACATTTTACCCAGGCCAGCCTCAGACTAGGATTTTCCTACTATGTCTTCCAGTAACTAGGATTTACAGACATGTGTCACCACACCTGGCTTTTTTGGTTGAGATGAGGTCTTGCTAACTTTTTGCCCAGGCTGACCTCCAACCATGATTCTCCTGATCTCTGCCTCCTAAGAACCTGGGATTACAGGCATGAGCTACCATGCCTGGCCAGAGTCTTTAAATTACCAGTTCTTATGCTAAGGGATCATAAATTGTGTTTCATAATAGTCATAACCATTACCTTGTTTGGAGATGCTTACTGTTCCACCTCAATGCTATAATTTGCAAGACTAGCTATCTGATAACCCTCTTTTGATTCTGCGTGGCCACAAAGTTGTGCATTTACTGCTAGGGGGTTCTGAAAACACAATCCTTGGTCCCACACTGGGCAAAATAATTTTCAAATTAAGCAAACTTAAACTACTTAGTTTTCCCACTAAAACCCCCCTATGTTCTCTCATTTAGTTAATGAGGATGCTCTTGACCCCAAACAGTAGTTTTCCAAGTTGAATGTCTTTACCATCCAGTGCCCCTACAGCATGCCTCAAGTACAGCAGTGGCCCCACACCACCTCCCACCTGGCCTGCTCCTCTACTCCACAACATGACATTGCTACTCCTCTCATCAGTTGTGGGCTCTGTGTCTCCTCTGTGAAAATCTGGGCAGACAGTACCTGCTTTTCACCAGAGTTGCTTAGTGGAAGAGATGCTCTAGAACTCGCAAGGCTGAGGAACTTCTGCCTGGTTATTTTGGGAAGCTTGCTCTGGAGGAAATTGACTATGTATAAGAAAGAGGTCTGATTGCCCCAAGAAGGCAGTGCTGGAGAGGCGACATTAGTGTGGGTTTAGGGGTGGACAGCCTCAGCCTAGCTCTTGCTGACAGGATCAACTGCCAGCTGTGTGAGTGAGCTCTCATGGATGCCCAGCCCAGGTAGACATCTGATTACAGGCACATGAGAGATCCCAAGTGAGGACTTCTCAACTGACCCCACCAGAGTTTTGACCACAAAATTACAAACAAAAGCTAATGGCAGTCTTTACTCCCATTTCCTGCATGGGGAACAGGAAATGCTTCTCTTTTTTTCTCCACTTCTCCCTACTTTATCCCGTTATACTAAAATAAACACTTAAAGAAAAGCTAGTAGGGCAGGGGAAGAGATGGCCCAAACAATGTATACACATATGAATAAATGTCTAAACAATTTTTTTAAAAAGCTCATGGGTGCTTTAAATTAAGAATGCGCTGTGAAGTTATTTCACAAGAATGATTTCCAGACTTATCAGTGAAGAGTAAATTATATCATCTTCAATCAACTATTACCATATTTGATAAGTGCTGAATTTCTTTAGAAAAGTACTAAATTTAAATTTTTAAAAAGTGAGAGCCTACTGTTTACCAGGCATATAGTATTATGGCATGGTTGTTAAGAGCTTTTGATGATGGCATCAGGTAGATCTAGATTCTGATGTTTGTTCTGCTGCTTACCAGGTAGATTAACTTGCAAAAAAGAACCTGACTGCTGTAGGGCTTAGGTTCCTCTCTGTCAAGGATGTAAACATGTTTTCTACAGCATGGGACTGTCGCAATGATTGAGCTAAAAATGAAAGTCTAGCACTTAGTACACTTTCTTGTAAGACTGCAAGCAATATCAAATATTATTATTACAGAGATTGGGAACATAGCCCAGTGGTAGTGCACTTGCCTAGCATGAGCAAATTCCTGGGTTCAATCCCCAGCAATGATAAATATATATCATATATAGACAGATATAGATATAGATATTTATAAAGCGGCTTAGAGTCAAGTTGGAGAGAGAGATCCATCTACAATAAACTGTAATGCTGTCTAGTTTAGAAAAGGGAAGGGCAGAGAGAGATAAAGACAGCCTTATTACAATCCTTTCCCCCCTTAAAGAAAAAAAACAACAACGGTGCACACTGGTAATCCCAGTTGCTTTTGCAGCAGAGATAGAATGATTATGGGTTTAGGTCAGCCCAGGCAAAAAGTTAGCAAGACCCTATCTCAGAAAACAAGCCAGGTATGGTGATTCATATCTGTAATCCCAGCTACTTAGAAAGTGGAGGTAGGAGGCTCACAATTGGAGGCTAAGTTTGTTTTGAATCTCAGAGGAGACTTTGAACTTGGACTTTTGAACAATGTTAAAGCTGTTAAGACTATGGGGATTCTTGAAGATGGACTGAATGGGTTTTGTATTGTCAGATGCACATGAGCTCTTTGGAAACCAGGGTTAGAATGTTTTGGTTTAAGGAGATATATTTGGGTGTTTGTGATGGATAATCTCAATTGTCACCTTGATTGGATTGAGAAGCAGCTAGGAGATTAAAGCACATTTCTGGGTGTGTCTGATTGGGCATTTCCAGAAAGTATTAACTAAGGGGAGAAGACCCACCCTGAACATGGGCAGCATCTTCCCCTAGGCTGGGGGCCCAGATGAAATAAAAAGGGAAAAAGAAGAAAGCCAGGAAAGTACAGCATTCACTTCTCTCTCTCTCTCTCTCTCTCTCTCCTGCCAGAATATGACCTGCTCCAACAAGTCTTCCCAGCCATAATGAACAGAAACCTCTGAAACTATAAGCCAGAATAAATCTTTCTTCCCTTAGGTCATATTTGTCACAGCAATGAAACACAGAAAAATTTTTAGCTTTTCTATAACATTATATTGCAGTAAATAGCTTTGTGCACATATCAAGTACTTTTTCTGTAGTATAGGTACCTAGAAGTGGAAATTCTGTATAAGAAATACCCAGATATTCACATAAATACAATGTTTAAAAATAGATCTTATCAAATTATTCAATCAGAATATCATGTTATCTTATTTTGTAACCAATGAAATTCTGTTTCCTTACACCCTCATTGATAATAGATATTTTTATTGGGTAGGACTCTTGTGTGGTGTTAGAGATCAAACCCAGAGCTTTACACATGTGAGGCAAGTGATCTATCGCTGAACTAAAACCTCAGCCCTTGGATATTTTCAGTTGTTAAAATTTGCCCTACTCTGTTAGACCAAAACAGTATTTTGCTGTTTTAAATGGCATATGTGTGAGTATGAATGCTATTGTACAAGTTACATTTTATTATTACTATTATTTTGAGGCTCTGGGGATTGAATCTAGGAACTTGTGCATGTTAGGTAAGCACGCTACCGCTGACACATATCCCCATCCTCTACAAGTTCCATTTTAAATGAATAAAAAACTTGAACTTAAAGTAAGTTTCATTTTTAAATTATCCTACTGGATAATTTAATGTATCTGCAACATAGACATTGGTTTTTTGGGGGGAAGGCAGGTGAGTTAGTTACAGATGAGGTAGGCATATTTCTGAAAGTATTTTCTTAACATTTAGGCAATATACCCAATTTGGATCGTGGGGATTACTGCTTTTCTGAGTAATGTTAAGGCTTCAGTGCTTTCAACATATTTAGCAAGACAGTATTGCAATAGCATACTTGTTTAAAAATCTAATAAGCAAGAAGCAGCCCATCTAAAAATGATGTTTCTTTCATTATTTTGTGGCTTTTTTTTAAAGACAGTCTTGCTATATTGCATAGGCTAGCCTCAAATTCATGATCTTCCTGCCTCAGCTTTCTGAGTGATGGGATTCGAGGCATGCACCCCTAAACCCAGCTATCTCTTTTACTTTTTAGTAAGGTGATGCCTTTGTTAATTTACTAGATACTCCACTTGCCTTTCAGGATGTAGGTTGCCAGAGGAAATATATCAGAGGTGCTCAGTCCTGAGCTCCTCTGTGCCTGGCTTCTAGGAAATACTTGATAACTGATGGATCTAAATTGGTCTCCCTCCTTCTCTTTCTTGCTTCTTTCCTGTCTGTCCTTCTTTTTCCATTTTCTTTCTTGAAAACTTAGTGGGATGGGCTATGGCCTTTCAGTGGACAGAGCCCACAAACCTTAAACTAAACCTTCCAGATACCTCAATCTGAGGTCTTGCTCATATTATCTCTGTTGGCTGACTGTTTGCTTGTCCAGACCTCAGAACATATGAAAGGAGCAAATCCCAAGAGGATTGTAGTCCTGATAAAAAGAGATGACCGTGTGTACTTTGTAATAAGGAAGGGATATTTATAAAAAGGTACATGCATAGTAGCAAATTCAGGTGATATTGTGACATTATGACAATGCCTTTGCTTGTAGAAGGTGGAGAATTGTGACACATTTTTAAAAGCCCTTTATCCAAGATGTTAAGATTAGAGTTTTGATACTTGTGGATAAAGAATTTCATGTATCTGGAAAATTCAGTTTTGTGATTTCTTACCCTCTGAACAATGCGGGAAACAGAAAAACATTTCAGAACATCAAATGAGCATAGCTGTGCTCCTCTTAGGCTGCCTCATTTTTCTTATTTCCCACACATTTAATTTTTGACATCTGTTTCATCAGTAGTTATTTGGACTGATGATTAATGGTGAAGAACACAATTCTTAAGATATTAAACCACTGAAGGGTTTGGAGATGTAATTATCTTTCAGCCATTTAACTAGCAACATATTCAGAACCAATGAATTAACATCATAATCCCCTGTCCCATTTCTTTGATTTACCCATGTGGAAAATTATGCTGTAATCTGCCCCTCTACTTAGACACTAATTAATGAAGTTACTCTTCTGTGTTTTTCATTATTTCTGAAACAAAGCCTAGTTGCTTCTGGACACACCTTAAAAAAATCTCCAGCAGGCTTAATTAATTGTCAGTGGTGGATTTGAGATGTTCCAGTGTTAGAAACGATTGGCTTG